AAAGTTATAATATAAAACTAAATTGAATTTTATTAAGCATACCTGTTTTTATTTCTAAAACCAAATTCTGGATTTCCTTGTAACAGTTCATATAAGACAGTAATCTCAGCAAATCCTGGCAAAAAGATTAAAATAGCCCCTGGAGGATGCTTAAATAAAAGTGTAATAATATAGGATGTTAGCGGAAATTGGACTTGCTTTTACAAGAGACAAATGGATATTTTTTGCAATATTTAAAGCATAATATTTAAGCTTATGCCAGCCAGAATAATTTGTTGTCAATAATCAACAGTTATAGCTTCATAACTTGCAATGTTCTTGAATAATTGCCATTGCTTATCACTAGATGACATACGCCCACATGCGTATTCAAACAGTTGTTTAAATCGGGATAAAAGCTAAAACACGATTTTTCGTACAATCAAGGGCCATAATTCAGGCAGTTACAATCCGATATACGTGAATATCGAAAGGTACCAAACATGACATTCAAGTTGCATCAAAATCTGATCAAAATTGTGTCCTCTAGAGGGTCCACAACCTTGATATACCATATTTTTACATTCTGTGTATACGAGGAGCGTCCAATTTGTCCAGCAGTTTTGGTCCAACTTTCATGAAATTCGAACTCAACCATCATTACAGTGTAACAGTGATATATTCGAACAGTTTTTTAAATTAGATGATAACTGTGACCTCTAGAGGGACGACAAGCAAAAAATGTAAATGAAATGAAATGAAATGGAGTTTAACGTCCTACTGTTCTGCTCCTAACCTGGGCTAATGAAGACGGGCATACGCCATACAGTGTGCTATGAGGGAAATTTTGCCAGGCCAAGGGATCTTTTACGTGTACGCCACCTCGGTTTTTCGTCCCATCCGAACGACTAGACAGCTTTCCTTGTCAGCCCCTCCGTCCTGCATCACTGACAAGGGAGAACCACGCCGGAAAATCTGGATGAACTTTCTCGGCCAATGCAGGGATCGAACACCCGACCTCCAGGCTAGCGTCTTACCCACTTAGCCACGTGATCCCCAGCAAAAAATGTGATTTTTCGTACAATCAAGGACCATAATTCAGGAAGTTACGATCCAATATCTACGCAAATATCGAAAGGAACCAAGATTTTTGGGTTATAAACATGCATTTCAAGTTTCATCAAAAACGTGATTTTTCGTACAATCAGGGTGATAATCCATGAAGTTTCGATCCGATACATGCCAATATCGAAAGGAACCGAGATCTTTTGTCAAAATCGGATAAGAAAGGTGACCTGTAGAGTGCCTACAAACAATTGTGGATGGACGTCCGAACTGGTAAGGGGCGGCGACAATAATATACGTCCACATGAAAATGTGGGTGTATAAAAAATTTGTAGATGTTCATATAATAGTATGTTTAACAACATACCAATAAAAGCAATGGTCAGTACTATATAAAATATAATATCATTTAATATAATAATACCTGATGTTTACCACCTATTATCCATTCTAACAATTCAACTATCAGTTCATAATTTGTCTTTTCTAGATCCATCATAGCTAGGGTTCTCAATGTCTTTTTTCCATATTCTAAAAGAATTTCCATTAAATAAATGATCACAATACACAGAAGATTCTATAGCCCATTTAAATTTAATATTTACATCTAGCATAATATACAAGTACGTTAATAAAACCATGTAGAATTTATATCCCAAGAGTAGAAAACAATGTATACTTTTAGGTATTTGAGACAAAGACTGTTCCACAAATATTTTACAATCTGTTATTTCTAGTACACTTACCACAATATCTGACAAACAGTTCTTTAACAGTGAGATTCTGATCTTGTTTTCTTTCATTAGGTGGATCATCGTTACTTAATAAACTCAGTGACTTCAATTGATCATCAATATCCTCTAAATACTGAGGCATGTTACGACTCTTAGTTTGCGGATAAGCATTTGACTGTTGTAAAGATCTTGAATAAGGTGAGGCATCTTCCATAATATACCTGAAGTTCACATCATATAAATATAAATAGATTAAAGAAACAAAGCTAAGTGAGAGAATACCTCTCTTGTCATATAAAATTGTTTGTTTTAGACAAATCCCAATTATTTCGGAATTGTTATATAAAATCAACAAATTTTGTATTTGTTTACATATTTTGAATAAAAAAACAACCTAAGCCTTGGAAGAGTTTTTTTCCATGCTTGTACTTAACCAAGTATTTGCACTGCCTAATGAAACCAGCAGTTGACAGGCATGATACACCCACATTTTGCAAGAGATGGATGGAAAACAATCTAGAAAAAAACCTGTGATTTTTCGTACAACCAAGGGCCATAATCCAGGAAGTTAAAGTGTGAAATGCACGAATATCGAAAGGAACTGAGATCTTTGGGATATAACATATATTTTATGTTTTATCCAAATCGGACAACAATCTTCATATTACATACTTTTACACTATTTGCTTCAAGCAGCGTCCATTTTGTCAACTTAAACCAAAATCTGGGTATGATGACGGTGATATATTTAAACTGTTTTTAAATCAGATAAAAATTGTGACCTCTAGAGGATTAACAAGCTAAAACTGTGATTTTTGGTACCATCAGGGGCCATAATCCAGGAAGTTATCGTCTGATATGTGTGAATATCCAAAGGAATTGAGATCTTTGGGATATAAACATATAATTTTATTTTTATCAAAATCGGATAAAAATTGTGACCTCTAGAGGGTCCACAACCTCGATATTGCATACTTTTACACTATTTGTGTTCAAGCAGCGGCCATTTTGTTGGGCAGTTTTTGGTCCGATTTTTACGAAATTCAAACTCGGGGTGTAACGATGAAGTAATTTTTAAAAACAGCAACTATTTTTAAAATCTGATCAAAAATTGTGAATTCTAAAGGGTCCACATGCTAATATCATGACTTTTTCGTACAATCAGGGGCCATAATCCAGGAAGTTATAGCCCATTCTGTGCAAATATTGAAAAGAATCAATATCTTTGGGTTATAAACATACATTTTAAGTTTCATCTAAGTCGAATAAAAATTGTGACCTCTAGAGTGTCCACATGCTAAAAATGTGATTTTTCATACAATCAGGAGCCCATAATCCATGAAGTTACGGTTCAATACACGGCAATCTCGAAGGAAACCAAGATCTTTTCAAGTTCCGTCAAAATCGGATAAAAATTTTGACCCCTCGAGGGTACACAAACAAATTGTGTACGGACTGACAGACATCCAGATGGACGTCCGGACGGAGGACAAGGGTGACGACAATATACGTCATATGAAAATGTGGGCGTAAAATAAAACTCAATATACTTTGCATAAACATTTTGAAATGATGGGGTGGGATACCACAATATTTGTTATGACTTACCCTGTAGATTCGATGGCATCCTCTAAGAAAAACTGTTCCACTGGAAACGTTTTTCCTATAAAGAATAACAATTTAAATATAATCTCACGGCATGTATCTAATGCATATACAGTGGACTGTATATCCGATATCGTACAGGATCGTTCAAATGTGCCGCATTAGGCAGCATGTCGGAATACTCAATATTGGAAGTATTATTCTACCTTCGAATGTACCTTAGGTATAATCTTCTTCAGTTGTATGCATTTGGTTGCAAAACTTTAATATTTACGTTGCTATGCTATAGTGCTCGCATTTTTATCTCACAATGATCGGTGGGGTAATGCTTTAAAAAAAAAAACCAAAACGGTTTCATCACAATTAAAAATGTATTCAGGAGAATACCCTTCAATAAAAGACAGAATGCGCATGCAGCATTATTCAACAGTACTAAGATCAACATTCGCACTTTCGCTACTAGTTTTAAAGGTTCATTCAACAAACCTCAGCAGACTTCATAGAATTGGTCGAGGTGTGCCAAATGTTTAAAGGCTTTGATGTTGAAACCATTTGTGCGACATTATGTTGATATCAAGGCAATCAACAAAGACCGATATGAGTATTTAATTAATCTCACCGATGATTGGGGATTGCTTGTCAATCTTTTGTAAGTGAACACCGACGGATTGAAGGCCGCATTATACATGGTTAATTCAATGCAAATCGTGTGACGGGACTGCTGATTAATGTCATAATTCATAATATTCAAAATATGGATTACTCAAAACTTTTCTAGTTGAAATTATAAAGAAATAAATCGGGATATGAAAATGATGACAGATTTCACAGAATGCCGTAGTGTTCAGATGTCAGAAGTGACAGAGTCCACTGTATAAGGGCTTGTAAAAAAAATCTTCAGTGATATAATTTATTATTTTTTCTAACCTTGGCCATTTCATATCAAAGTGGGTTGTTGGATGGCCGAATAGTTAGCGTGTGTGCGTTGTATCATAAGATCTGTGGTGTGGTTTCAATTCCCCGGTAGTACGTGGCAGGGAGTAGGGTCGCCTGTCCAACCTCATGGGTTTTCTACAGGTCCTCCGATTTACTCCCACTACTAAAGACACCCCTACGCGCAATTGAATTATTGAAAAAAAAGCTGAACCATGTTAGTCCCGAGAATGACCTAATTTGTGTCGAGTGGACGTTAAACCCCATTTCTCTCTCTATCTCATATCAAAATGTTTTACTTTCTGTGATGGATTTTTAAATGAGAGACAGCAACATGTTGGTTTTTGTTTCCATAATTTCTGATACACATAAAGAGAAAAGAGATGGGGTATAATATCTACTCGACATAAACTATGTCATTTCGGGACTTACACATGGTTCATTTTTATTTCAATGATTCAATTGCGTATATGGGTTTTTACCAATGGGAGGAAACAGGCAGACCCAGAGAAAACCCACAAGGTTAGATAGACAACCCTATTTTTTGTCTTGTACAAGCGGGGAATAGAAACCATGCAACTTCACTCACTGACAGACCCTATGATCTAAAGTGTACACATTAAACAATTCAGCCACCCCCACTGGTTAATAATTAAAGAGACACATGCACAAGTAATATTTCAATTACAAACCTGGTATTTCAACAGTAGGACAACAACCAAAATATCGAGAAAAAAGATCAGCATTTAAAGTGGCACTCATCAGTATTACTTTAAGGTCAGTTCTTGTAACTAAAAGATCTCTCAGAATCATCATTAAGAAGTCACTGAAAGAAAAATTATAACATTTCATTTGGATACACTCTGCAACAGTTTTAAAACAAAATAGGAAATTTGTATTCATGAGATTTATTGTCTTAACAGAAGTTTGATTTAATCTGATTTATTAATTGAAATTAATGCCACTATCAGAAAAGCTCTCTGCAGATTACTATGGCTGTCTATAATTTTTCACAATTGTTTAGCACAGATGTCTACTTAGTGGTATCGTTCTGTTTTTTGGGTGGAGTATCTGGGACCTGTGTAGATTCATTCGAAGGTTTAGTTGTTGGTCGCTTTTGCCAATATAGTATTCCCCACATCCCGTGCAAAGTAACAAGTAAAAACATGCTTATATAGTTTTGAAGTTCATGTTTTGTTTAACACTAAATACTTGTTTATTTGACATGGAGAACGTTGAGCCTTCCATGATGTCTTTACATAATCCACACCGTTTATCACCACATTTTGATACGCATGAATTTTCTGTAATTTCATTTCACTTGACTCAATGATCGACTTTATGATCTAAAGCTAAAGCACACACATTAAACCATCCCCCCATCTGTGCCAAAGTGTATATAAGTACAGTACTTTTATATAACAAGCCAACAGTGAGGCTGATGTCCCCCGCCGAAATCCCAAAATAAATAGATGACACATATTCATTAATCGCACATTTATTTTTTTTCAAAAGTATCAAGCAATCAAACAAATTATCACCTATACACTAAGTTTGATCACTCTCTATCATATAGAATCAAAGTTATCGATCCTTAGCCTAAGCAGAAAATTCTCATTAACAAACTTAGTCAAGGTAATGATATAACGAATCTATACTCAGAGTTTCATCACTCTCACTTAATTAAAACCAAAGTTATCAACCAATCAGATTGCTTATCTCTGCTGACCGTAAGCAGACAAGCTTTATCATCGAACTCCATCAAGACATTCACCTAATGAATGCCTACACCAAGTATGAACATTCTTCCTCAATTAGAAGGAGAGTTGTGTTCCAAAGTCTCGACCAATCAAATTGCTTATCGCTCTGCTTACCCATAAGCAGAAAATGCTTATTTATGGAACTTACTCAAGGTATTGATGAGATAAACCTATACACTAAGTGTCCCCACTCTCACTTAATTAGAACTAAAGTTATCGTGTCCCAAAGCATCGACCAATCAAATTGCTTATCTCTGCTTACCATTAGCAGAAAATGCTCATCTTCGAACTCTATCAAGGCATTCACCTAATAAACACCTACACCAAGTTTGAACATTCTAGCTCAATTAGAAGGAGAGTTAATGTGTTCCAAAGTCTCACCCAATCAAATTGCTTATCGCTCTGCTTACCCATAAGCAGAAAATGCTTATTATCGAACTTAGTCAAGGTATTGATGTAATAAAACTATACACCAAGTTTCATCACTCTCACTTAATTAGAACTCAAGTTATCGTGTCTCAAAGCATCAACCAATCAAATTGCTTATCGCTGCTTACCCTAAGCAGAAAATGCTCATCTTCGAACTCCATCAAGGCATTGACCTAATAAACACCTACACCAAGTTTGAACATTCTAGCCCAATTAGAACAAGGCATTGACCTAATCAACACATACACCAAGTTTGAACATTCTAGCCCAATTAGGAAGAGAGTTATCGTGTCCCAAAGCATCAACCAATCAAATTGCTTATCTCTGCTTACCCTAAGCGGAAAATGCTCATCTTCGAACTCCATCAAGGCATTGACCTAATAAACACCTACACCAAGTTTGAACATTCTAGCCCAATTAGAACAAGGCATTGACCTAATCAACACATACACCAAGTTTGAACATTCTAGCGCAATTAGGAAGAGAGTTATCGTGTCCAAAAGCATCAACCAATCAAATTGCTTATCTCTGCTTACCCTAAGCGGAAAATGCTCATCTTCGAACTCCATCAAGGCATTGACCTAATAAACACATACACCAAGTTTGAACATTCTAGCTCAATTAGGAAGAGAGTTATTGTGTCCCAAAAAGTGTGACGGACAGACAGACGGACAGACAGACAGACGGACGAACCCATTTTAATAGTCCCCTGCTTTCTTCGAAAGGCGGGGGACAAATATAAAAGAATTCCAGTATCATTAGGTTTTAGTCTGACAAATAGTACAATAAATACCTTTCTTCAGTCCGTTCATGAACTTCATCAATAATAAGATGTGAAACACCATGTAACATAGGATCACCTTCTAAACGTCTTAATATAATACCAGTTGTACAAAATAATAAACGTGTTGAAGCAGACTGAAAAATAATAATATATACAAACAGAAGCCAATTAATCTACGCAATTAAACACATCAATTAGACCTGTAATTAATCTACGCAATTAAACACATCAATTAGACCTGTAATTAATCTACGCAATTAAACACATCAATTAGGCCTGTAATGGTTGCTTGTCAAATGCTTTGTCATTGCATTGGATGAAAATGAAATTACTTTGTTAAATTTTAAAGTTCATCTATCTAAACTTTATGTATACTTTAATAGTGAAATTTTGTGATTAAAATGAGATGGAAGTATAGATGTATTTATCCAATGACCAAACCAATAAACCCAAGTTTACTGGGTAATTCAAATAACTTGTCTCTTCAAAATAGACAGATTTTCATTTATTACCAGTAATAATTTGATAAATTTAAAATCAATTTTAGATAAAAAAAATTTCAAATACTTGCTTTATAACTAATAAATTTGACTTGTTATGTAAAATTTACCTGAATATTCTCCAGTCTGATTTGATAACCAACTAATTTACCAATCTTATCAACTTGTTCTTGTGCTACACGTTGAGCTACAGCAATGGCTGATATTCTACGAGGTTGTGTACAGATGATATTACACATCTTATTCTTTCCGCTGCTTAAGTATGATTCTAGAATAAACTGTGGCACTTGGGTTGTCTTACCACACCTAAAAATATCAAATATATTGTAGTAACAAGTTAAGCTTATCTCATGTATCTTCAAATTTCACAATTATAATAATGTTTTCGTTAATCTATGATTACTGGCAAAATCATCTATCTCAGGTGTCCTATTTTGGCTTAGTATCCATTTTAGCTCAATATATTTTGATTGGCAGTGAAATTGACCAGTTGAAGACCTTACCCATCAGTCAATTTACATATCATAAAATTAGAATTTCAAAGAATTTAACCATGTAACACAACTGATTCATAGTTTATATGTGTAAAAAGACTTAAAATTATATGAAAACATTAGAATAATGCTAACAATTGTCATATTCAGTGGAAAAAAAAATATCTTGCTAATCTGAGGTAAACCAAATACATGAAGAATTGACTGGCTTGAAAAACTTTGAAGTTGATACGAAATCAGGGAACCAAACTGAATTGCAACTGATAGCAAGATAGCATTTCACTGTAGTCTCATGCATAAACAACTCGCTAATTCGGGTACGAAGTAAAACTTGTGATGCCGTCATCGGACGTGAATAACAGAAATCTTGATTTTAAAATATGTTTAATTTATATTCTTTGATTATGATTTAAAGGGACTATCCCCAAAATATATTTATTGAATCAAACAGGTTATATAGAAACCCTTCTCCCAGGAATGTACAATCATCTAAAGCTACAGGGTACTTTTTACCAGAAATACAAACTTTTATTTTTTATGTTTTTGGTATACTCACCCTGTCATACCACTTATGACGGTGACTTGATTGTCTTCTAATGTCTTTAATATTTCTTCCTTCATATCCCATGCTGGTAATCCAGATCGTGATGTTTGACGATCTTTATAACCCTTTGAATCCTTGAAACGAAATCAGTATTTAACAATGAAAATCAATCTTAAAATCAATCAATAAAAAAAGCTTATATGATTTTGATAAGAAATTATATAATACTATAGGGGTTATTTCAGTTCTATGAAAGGTGCCCTGTTTAATATATTGAAGCTGTTAAACAAATGGTTGACATCGAGAAAAATGGGCTAAGTAGGTATTTTTGCAAGATTCAAGTTTCTTAGACTAACACACAGACACTTCCTGCCACCATCAATTGCTGAAAGTAGGGCAGTATCGTCCAGTCATCTCTGCACAGATTAATCCAATTAAATAGAATAATGTTGATGTAAAACGGTGCCCATATGAAACACTTATGGGTAATTGTCCCGCCCTAATAGCTGACGCTTCAGACATCATTTAGTCTACTCAGAAGGATGTTCCCACAGCTTCCTTGGCTGAGAGGCTGGGAAACAGACATCATTTAATCATCTAGAGATCCTAGGAGAGACATTGTTCGGAGTTCCTAGGGGAACATCATACCTGCAGCCTCTTCAATAGAGGTGGGATTGGCTCTTGCCACAGAACACCCGCTAAGTGATAGAAAACTTATATTTAGCTTATATTTAATGCCATAGCTATGTGTGTAGTTTCCTGTATGTAGTAACCCTTTGCATTATGGATGTTATAAAGATATAAAAACAGTAAACCAACAAAGTATTCCAGAGGCAATTGATATACAGCGTGAAAATCCTGACTAGACAAGTGTCACCCTAGTGTCATGGGCCTTTTTCGGGAAGTTCCTGATTAGATAGTCAACCTCTGTCCCTGTAGTGTCACATCAATGTTTTCTAGAGATCCATGAACAGGATAGTGTCACATCATATAATAGTTTTTAGTGCCATGACAAAGGATAGTCATGATGTGACCCTGCCTGTAGTGTTACAATTAGATATAGCATGCCAATATTATCCTGGTTACTGGTAATTCATATAATGTACGAAAAGTTTACAAACATTATTTATTCTGATTCAAGATATCGTCAATCAATTTATATGAAGCTTTGTTATTTTAAATTAACTTGAAAACCACATATAAGCAATTTTTTCTATTTTGTATTAAGTACGGTACAATAAAAGAAATTTTACTAACCAGTTTCCGAACAAAATCATCTTTTAATCTTTTGTTGAATGGAGAGTTTTCAATTTGACTAGCCATTCTTGTATTTTTCCTACCATATTTTTCACTGGGTTTTGGGTCATTATCAGATTTTTTCTTATTTTGAGAAAATCTTTCTTCATCTCTATCTACCATTCTCAACATGGCCGCTTTTCCATTCTCAATCATTTTGTCATCATCAGGTTTAATTTGTGGTATTGATACCCGTTCCATTTTCTCGTTAGTTTCTTCTCTCGCTTGAAATTGTTTCATTGAAATAATCGGTTTGGGTAGGCTACATGCAGACGGCGGTCGTTGTAAAATTTCAATCAATGTTCCTGTATTATCTTCTTCTAATAGACTAGCTATACTAAACACAACAGGACTATGAAATTCAGATAACGATTTGGCTTCATGAAATAAATATTGACTAATATTTAAGGCACCATGTTGGGGGAAATAGTCTAATATTGATGAAAATATAACTAATGGGGGTTCTTCGGGATATTTATTTCCATTTATAAATCTTATTTCTAACTGAAATGGACACTTAGGCGATTCAGCTTCACGTAATGGTTCTGCTATAGCTTCTACGGTATTAGGATTTTCTTTCAGGGCATGTTTAAATTTGCATTTACTTCCAAACCGACATCCCACTTTACTGGAGAAATATTTACACAAAGGTCTTTTATCTGTATCCACTTTTACCTTGGATCCTCGCGAATGACTCTTTAATTCAAATGTTGGTTTGGAAAGTTCTGCTAAATGGGGAAGCTCCAGATTTAGAATCCATATTTTATTGGACAATCTCTCCTCAAATCTATCATCAAATATACCTTGTAGTACCATCATTTCCTCTGATCTGGCATCTAAAATCTCTTGTGTTAATTGTTCACCTGACTGACTAGGATTATATTCTAAATCAAAACATTCACATAATAAGAAATCTAAAGCTGCTCCAATATCATCGTTATATAACTGTAAGGCATCCTGACATCTTGATTTATGAAAACCACATCTAAAAAATACATAAAGCAAAATTAGTCATGAGCATTTTTATATGATTCCCTGTTATATGTATTGGACATACCTATGGTGATAACATCACAGAGGCAAAAACTTATATACGTCTGTATCATTCTGTAAGACAGGGGTCCGGAAGATGTCAATATGTATTTAATACAACAAGCATTACTTTTTTTGAAGGGCTTCTTCCAATTTAACAACAGAAGTTGCAGGGGGTTTTCTATCACAATTTTCTAATCATTTTCATGTGATCAAAGAGAGAGAGAGAGAAATGGGGTTTAACGTCCACTCGACAAAAACTAGGTCATTTTGGGACTAACATATAATTTAATTTTATTTCAATAATTAGCTTGCGCGTAGGGGTCTTTAGCAGTGGGAGGAAACCGGAGGACCCGGAGAAAACCCACGAGGTTGGACAGGCAACCCTACTCCTTGTCACATACAACGGGGGATTCGAAACCACGCCAATTGACTCAATGACAGGCAGTATGATACAGCACGCACGTGCTAACCATTCGGCCATCCAACCCCCCCTTCATGTCATCAAGAACATTGATTTATATTATTGCTAATTAATGGATAACTACTTAAAGATACTTTCCTGTGTACAAACTGTGTGATCTGATGACATATTTGGACTAAAAATATATTCAAACTACTTAATCTATCAAACATGTGCTTCAAATCCCTCTCAAACCTTTGTATACATGGGGAGATTCCTCAAGCTATAAATAAACGGATGTTTGAGGCCATGTCTGTCACCTAGCTTTTACCATACATATTGAGGCCTAAGTAAATTCTTAATTATTTTCTGTCAATTTCTTTTTCCATCGTTTAATTGCAGAGTCTTTTGTACGTTGACACATCTCAATGTTTCCAAAACCTCCTACCCATACGATCAAGAAATAACAACTGCTCCCTCAGTCAAGCTAGCACACAATAAGCTGGCAGACAACAGTCAGGTTGCCTGTTAGTGATACCCTGATATTTTTGTCCAGTGCTTGTCCCATGGGTGTTTTTCAGGTAATCCAGTATTTTTCTAGTAAGACCAAATTTGCCATACTTTTATTGGAAATAACCACCTGATAAATACTTTCGAGACAATGTATCTAAAGAATAGAAATATGTATTGAATGCATGTTGGGCTTTATTATTAGCATACCTCATTAATCGTTGTATTGCAAATTGATTATTCATAGTTTTATATTGTAATTTAGGTATTTCTTCAGCATCCATTTCAGCGTAACTTGTAGTATCTTCTATAACCAAATTTTTATCTGTTACCCAGTACTGTTTATCATCATGTCTATTATTATAATAACTTTCATCTTCTTCTTCATCATCATCATCTTCTTCATCTTCTAATTCATAATCTTGATCACTAGAAGAGAAATAAATATCTTACAAAAATATATTAAATTAATGGTGTTTAAAGTCCTACATTCCTGCACCGACTGGGATAATAAAGATGGGCATTCGCCATACAGTGTGCTATGAGATAAATTTGGACCAGGCAGCGCTGCTCCGGCCTACTCTTATTTCGAATTCGAATTTTAACTGTCAAGGATTCTTTTTATGTGCACACAGGGCCTTGGTTTTTTGAACCATCAGAACAACTAGTCACTGCCCTTGTCCAATCCTTAGTCCTGCACCACTGATGAGGGGGAATAACGCAAGAAAGTCCCAAGGAATTTTCTCAGCCATCACCGCGATTGAACCCAAAACCTCACTGAGCCACTGCAGCTCCCTCAAACAAGTGAAAGGTAATATCTTGACGGTGGGAAGATGACTATGGAAACCTTATTTCTAAAAAAGCAATTTTCCACATCTTATAAATATAATTTGACTTACCCGTAAACATCATCATCTTTTCCATTCTGATCATCATCACCAAATGAATCTATAGTTTCATAGTCACCTCTTCTAATAGCAAATAAAACATCTCGTACCATATCCTGATTTTCATTACTCATATACAGATGTTGCATCTGAACACGACTATCACCACCTTTTCCCCTGTAAATAAATACATGGACCTGTATTACATTTAATTCTAAATCTTTGAAATAATATGATGACCACATAATATTATTTTATTTGTTCTGATTTTGATATGTTCTTATAATGTATTCCAATCTACAAAACCAATAATATTTTCATGATGTACATTAGAGAAGCATAGTTGAAATGTTATACAGTGATATAACAGTAATTGTATTCCATAGAATGGTATCTTGTGTATTTGATAGTACATTAGTACATCAATTTACATAACACAAACATAATTTAAAGATATTCATATAAAAAGATATGTTCCCTCAAGGTTAAATAGGTCATCTCGTATAATGTAAAAACTTATTTTTAACTAAAAGCACCTATTATATCATTTATCCTAGAAAAATAAAATCATAGATAGACTGAGTTGTTATTATATTAGCAAGCATACAATAAACAAAATAACAAAGAAATCAAGACATGTCAATCCCAAGTTTGGCAAATAACTATTCATCATTAGCACATCAAGTAGTGCATAGCCATTGACCACAAAATTTTTTTGGCTTACTGTTGTGTTGCATCAGTATTTTTAGATTTGAAATTGAGCAGGGTTTCCCATTCACAGCCCACAAGATATCATGTTTTTAGTAATATATATAGTTTTCTAATTATATTTTTCAATCAATGGTAATGTATTTAGGCTCTCGACATGTATTTAGGCTCTCGACTGTTGTGAAAATATAGTTTTATATTAACTGATTATTGAAAATATCAAAAATCAGGTGTTGAAAAAATACCACTAATCAGTACCTTGAAGATGAGAAATCATTGCTTGATGAACCACCATATCTATTCCCTTCGTTTCCACCTCTTCCACGGTCATTACCTCTACCTCCCCCCCTCCCTCGATCTGCTCCTCTACCCCTATCACTTCCTCCTCTACCTCTATCACTTCCTCCTCTCCCTCTATCACTTCCTCCTCTCCCTCTATCACTTCCTCCTCTCCCTCTATCACCCCTTCCTCTTCCTCTGAATCCTCCCCGAGCTTGACCTTTATTCCCAGGTTTCTTTGGTTTCGGACCAGCTGGCATAAATGCAAAATCCCCATCATCATAATCTACAAAACCACCTCCACCATGGTGCTTTCCAGTAGAACTATTTGGCCGGTTTCTTCTCATTCTTAATTAACAGTATTAGGGAAACTGAAAAGTCAAAAGTTTGTTATTATTAATACATTTTATTTAAAGATACATTATGGGAGATTTTTTATAGAGAGTTGGCCATTCTTGCTATAACAGTTCAAAAGTAGATGATGAAAGAAGAATATATTGAAAATTCAGTCAAATTACTTTATTCTGAACATAGTTATCATCGTTGTAATATTTGCCTAGAAATGGTAGCAAATTGTGTCTTCACCTTCGCTGATCGTTTGATTGACAGGCGTTAACTCCACCTACATATCTCGATTATCAAGTAAAGCTTTCAATGGCATACCGAAATGCTTTACAGCGGCCTCGCTAAGTACACTCTATCATTTAGCCTCGATCTAACTGACGTATTTTCATCAGGTTACCCCTTATTTGATTTAATCAATTAGTGAAATCCTATTTAAATCCGAGCTGTAGCCGAGCCATCTGTGGGTCTACAGAGTTGATTTTGGTCTTGTTGTTTAAATAAAGATCTAATTTATAATTTCTATAACATCTGAAGCCTAAATTAAGACTTGCAATAATCAGATTTAGCTCTTGCATAATGCATGTTTAATATACTATTCTTTAATTTCTGAATCTTCAATTTTTGAACGCAGGGTAAAACACTGACATTATCATACTAAATGCACCATGTCCGCTATATGATCAACCAATCTAAAATGTTATCGCTTTTAGTAACAAATCGGTCATAAAATAATGATTAACGTTCTCTTAAGACTACCAAGACGGCAATCTCTAGTGTCTGGTTAAACTTATTCCAGTCTGCACCGATTGTATTCATTGCGCATATGCCATATGCTCTCCAAATAAGAATATGGCGTCACCGCTTGACATAAATTGTGGAATATGTCTAGCCGCGTTCTTCGAGTCCCTTCAATGTTACAAACACATTAAGGTACACCAAGTGACCAATAGTAAAATGTTTATTTTGATTTAAATATTGGATATCATCCTTTCCCGGTAAGATCACAACATCAATGACAATGTTGATCTAAATTGATAATTCGTGTTTTCAATGTAGAAAACTTTGTATGATATTGAGTTAGAGACTTAGCTACCTTAGTTTTTAAGACGAAATTAATTAGAACACACCGGACTGGTAACAGTAATAATAACAACACAATTCGATAACCACGTCACACACGTGCCCCTTTTGTTGTTCAATCTGCCAATGATTCATTGTAATCATACATCGTTACAATGCATTTTTTAATAGAGGAGCAAATTATGCCAATGGTGGGAAAAACGTCGGTTAATTATAAAGTGTCTTACTTACATCTCATCAAAAGACAAGTTTGACTTTATGAACATTTGGCAGATTCATCTTCCAACCTACAGGCTACGATGAAAGTAAAAGTAGAGAAGAAATCCAGCAAATTAATCTAAAACGAATGAGAAGAAAATAACTAGGTCAAATGATAAACTAAAATTTGATATCAATCTTAGTATTTATTGAGACGAAAACTTCAATATTAGTATTTATTGAGACGAAAACTAAATTCGCAAACTACCATGGCAGTGATTTTTATTATAAATTTAATAAAATATGATTACCAAATAATTTATTAGATTTATTTTGTTTTTGAGTTGGTGCATTTTGTGTTTTAATAATGAATATTCTATTCCGCTATCATTATTCGTTTCGTTTTTTGTACAATTATTATATTTTATTTTCACAACTTGACCTCATTAAATTCTAATGTTCATTCTTTTTAGTCTTCTGTACGGTCCAAATCAAATAGTCAGTCGAATAAACCAGTCGATGGCTTATTAAAATTTTGGAATAGTTTGAAATAAATATAAGTTAAAGAAAAAACGCACTAATTCCAATATCGTTTATCATTGTTTTTGTCTGTTTTTTATGTTCCCTCATGTTCCAATTTGATTGTTCAAATTAAAACCTTAAGGTGTTATCTTAGTTATTGCCACCGCTGCTTAATAAAGTCATGCTTTACTTTTTCCCTCGTCATATAATATATTGAGCGACAAGTTTATTTGACTGGATTATTCGACTGGTTTATTCGACTGAACTACTGATGTTATCGACTTAACTATTTGACTGATTTATCGACTGGACGCGGCTATATGAAAATGTTATATATCACATCCCCCCCCCCCCGCCCCCCTCCACCCCACCTACCCCACCCTACCCCTTTCTAAGGTCATATATAGGGACTATTCTTTTCGAGGTGGGGGGGGGGCGAAAATATTAGTAGGCCTATCCACTTATATACATGTATCACTAAGACAGGTGAAGACCTAGCCCCCCCTCCCCCGGCCCCTGACAATGCCCCGACTCCTTCAGCTATGGCTAAGCATCGCCTAAATACCTTTATTATCAAACTACTTTTGACCGCAACATAGGACTTGATACTAATATCGGCCCTCGCCTCAAAAAGAATAGAGTATAGGCCTATATGACCGAAGAAAAGGGGGCTGTGTATAAGGGGCGTATGTACTTAAGTAGATACTAATATTTCTCCCCCCCCCCTCCCCTCAACTCGAAAAGAATAGAGTCCCTATATATGATATGAACAAAGGGGATGCGATGGGGGTGGGCCGGAGGGAGCGTGTGGGGATGGGGTATTGGAAAACTGGGGCACATTGAACATATGGGTACATTGAACCACCATGGATATATCCTTTATAAATAATACTAGGCAACCCAAGACGACACAGAAGTGAGATAACTTCTTAGACCTATTTCCCCGTCAATAAGCAGTAGCAACATGCTGTCAATTATTTTTTAGGCAATGAGTTTTTCAAAAGAGCTCTTAAAAGTGAAAATGCACTACTTCCACTTATCATTTTCCATACTTGTTAACTGTTTAGACTAGGAAATTCTTGTACTTAAAATCAGTTCATATATGTCTAATCTACAATCCAGATAAACAGGGGCTTGATCCATAGAGGGCATATTGAATTTTTTTTAAATTTTGATCATGAAACTGTGATGGGGCAGATTGAACCAATGTCAATGGGGTACTTTGAACCATGGTTCAATGTACCCCAGTGCATTATAGACTATATATCATTTGATAATTTGTTCAGCCTAGGAAATTCTTGTACTTACAATCAGTTCATATCTACAATCCAGATAAATAAGGGCTTGATCCATTTTGAATTTTTTAAAATTTTGATCATAAAACTGTGATGTGGCAGTTTGAATTGAACCACTGTCAATGGGGTACGTTGAACCACTGGTTCAATATACCCCAGTGCATTATAGTTTATATATCATTTGATAATTTGTAATATCTTTGAAAATAAAAACAATATTAGAATATCAATTGATCCAACTCTGTAGGCCTGTCATGTAAAAGGAATTAAAACTTCATGGGAGCAGTGTTCGAAACTTGGCTGTGACATACAGGGGCGCAATGGGTCTCCCTGACTAAGAGTCGCTTGTCAGCAAATCAGGCTGTCAAAATTTAGACAGAATATTGGACAAATGTTGGTTTGATTCACTGCAAAAGTTGACTGGGATCCCACTATCCCACCAAACTGCCATTAAGTGCAATTTACAGCGACTTGTAGGAGCCTAGGGAATCCGGACTCCTGCTTGTATCGATCGTTGCACGGATGTCAAAATCTGTGGATATTTGTTCTTAACTAAACATTGATTGTTTGCAGATTCATTAGATCACTACGAAACAAGTGACTAGGTTTGTGATCCAAATCAAGATCTACATGTATGTTTAACATGGAATTTTTACCACTGTTCAATGTGCCTCATTATGTGGTTAAACCTGGCCCGACTATTTTTGTACAGCTGGGTACATTGAACCATTACGGTCAAGTGGATTAAAATGTGTTTTTTAAAAAAAGTTAAAAATTAATTGAATTGAATCTGATACACAATAGCAACTATGTTATGTCTTCAAACAATACAATTAAGTAAAGAGATCTTCTAATAAAAACATTTGATATGGAAGGAGGACAACCATGTATGTGAAAAAAACTGGTTCAATGTGCCCCGGTCTCCCCCTTTGACATTTTCATCGCTCGGGAGGGAAGGGGGAAGGGGTGGGGGAGGTCTTCGCCAGTCTTAAGTGATACATGTACTTAAGTAGATACTAATATTTTCACACACACCCCCCCACCTCGAAAAGAATAGAGTCCCTATATATGATATGAACAGAGAAGAGGGATGCTATGGGGCTGTGGCGATTAGGGAGCGTGTGGGATGGGGTATTTGACATTTTCATGTGGCCTCGTCCAGTCGATAAAATCAGTCAATTAGTTCAGTCTATAACATCAGTCAAATAGTTCAGTCGAATAATCCAGTCGAATAAACGAGTCGCTCAATATTTAAGCAGCGGTGGTAGTGGACTAAGATAATATAGAGTTGCAAATTATGCTCGTAGCCATAGCTGGAAGAGTCGGGGGCATGGGGTAGGGGCCGGGGGCTTCCCAATTAGTTTCAAGTTCGATTTTACGTGAAAAGGTAGTTTGATAATTAGGATATTCAGGCGATAGTTAAGCCATAACTGAAGGAGCCAGTAGCTAGGGAGGGAAGGTGGAGGGGTGGGGCAGGTCTTCACCAGTCCTTAGTGATACATGTACTTAAGTAGATACTAATATTTTCGCCCCCCCCCCACCTCGAGAAGAATAGAGTCCCTATATATAATATGAACGTAGAAGGGGGATGCGAAGGGGGTTGGGCGGGAGGGGCGTGTGAGGATGAGGTATTTGACATTTTCATGTGGCCAAGTCTAGTCGATAAAATCAGTCAATTAGTTCAGTTGATAACATCAGTCGAATAATTCAGTCGAAAAGTTCAGTCAAATACTTCAGTCGAATACTTCAGTCGAATATAATCTTTAAGAGGCATTTAGTAACTGGGTAGAGCAATACACAAAAAACACATACTTATGGAAAAACAGCTACTTATTTATTTGGGCGACGTTTCGAAGAGTATTCTCTCAACGTTATCAAGCTAATACAGTAATACAAGAATAATGAGATCAATATATACAGAAAACTGTAACAACAATTCATGAAACCATACAGGACAACAACAAGATCAAAGGGGTTTATTCTACAAAAACTAATTAAGTGTGAAGAGTAGCCATTGAGTATAGTTAAGCAATTAGGTAGCTATGATGATAGATACAATACTACCGACAGAATGGGATAGTACCTACAATACAATTATGATATACCATGGTTTGTTTAGATAATGGTAATTAACTTTATATGTCTGTGTGATTAAATGTACAATTAGACTAGAGTAACCCATATGTGTAATAATTCTAAGAAATAGAGTGGATATAACTGATAAATTGATAATAATATTAGAAAAATGAAAAATAATAAAACTCATAAAAATTCACACCGGACTGGTAACAGTAATAATAACAACACAATTCGATAACCACGTCACACACGTGCCCCTTTTGTTGTTCAATCTGCCAATGATTCATTGTAATCATACATCGTTACAATGCATTTTTTAATAGAGGAGCAAATTATGCCAATGGTGGGAAAAACGTCGGTTAATTATAAAGTGTCTTACTTACATCTCATCAAAAGACAAGTTTGACTTTATGAACATTTGGCAGATTCATCTTCCAACCTACAGGCTACGATGAAAGTAAAAGTAGAGAAGAAATCCAGCAAATTAATCTAAAACGAATGAGAAGAAAATAACTAGGTCAAATGATAAACTAAAATTTGATATCAATCTTAGTATTTATTGAGACGAAAACTTCAATATTAGTATTTATTGAGACGAAAACTAAATTCGCAAACTACCATGGCAGTGATTTTTATTATAAATTTAATAAAATATGATTACCAAATAATTTATTAGATTTATTTTGTTTTTGAGTTGGTGCATTTTGTGTTTTAATAATGAATATTCTATTCCGCTATCATTATTCGTTTCGTTTTTTGTACAATTATTATATTTTATTTTCACAACTTGACCTCATTAAATTCTAATGTTCATTCTTTTTAGTCTTCTGTACGGTCCAAATCAAATAGTCAGTCGAATAAACCAGTCGATGGCTTATTAAAATTTTGGAATAGTTTGAAATAAATATAAGTTAAAGAAAAAACGCACTAATTCCAATATCGTTTATCATTGTTTTTGTCTGTTTTTTATGTTCCCTCATGTTCCAATTTGATTGTTCAAATTAAAACCTTAAGGTGTTATCTTAGTTATTGCCACCGCTGCTTAATAAAGTCATGCTTTACTTTTTCCCTCGTCATATAATATATTGAGCGACAAGTTTATTTGACTGGATTATTCGACTGGTTTATTCGACTGAACTACTGATGTTATCGACTTAACTATTTGACTGATTTTATCGACTGGACGCGGCTATATGAAAATGTTATATATCACATCCCCCCCCCCGCCCCCCTCCACC